TGTGGGGCTCGATCCCAGGACCCTGAGATCATGACCTGAGCCAAAGGCAGAGGCTTAACCCACTGAGCCACCCAGGCACCCCACGGATTTTTCAATTTTTTTGAGTAAGGTTTGGGTGGCTATGTATTTCCCCCTTAAGACTGCCTTTGCTGTATCCCATAAGTTTTGGACTGATGTATCTTCATTCTCTTTGGTTTCCATGAATTGTTTAAGTTCTTCTTTGATTTCCTGGTTGATCCAAACATTCTTAAGCAGGGTGGTCTTTAGCTTCTAAGTGTTTGAATTCCTTCCATACTTTTTCTCGTGGTTGAGTTCCAGTTTCAAAGCACTGTGGTCTGAGAATATGCAGGGAAGAGCCTCAATCAGTGGAGCCCTGATTTGTGACCAAGTATGTGGTCTATTCTGGAGAAAGTTCCTTGTGTGCTCAAGAAGAATGAGTATTCTGTTGTTGTCTGGTGGAATGTTCTGTATGTATCTATGAGGTCTATCTAGTCCAATGTGCCATTCAATGTTCTTGTTTCTTTATTGATTTTCTGCTTGGATGATCTGTCTATTATTGAAAGTGGCATGTTAAGATCCCCTACTATTAATGTATTCATATCAATACTCTTTATCTTGATTAAAAGTTGTCTTATGTATTTGGCTGCTCCCGTATTGGGGGCATAAATATTTACAACTGTTAGATCTTGGTGTATAGACACTTTAAGAATGATGTAGTGTCCTTCCTTATCTCTGACTACAGTTTTTAGTTTAAAATCTAATTTATCGGATATAAGAATCACTACCCCAGCTTTCTCTTGAAGCCCATTGGCATGAAATATGCTTCTCCATCCCTTCACTTTCAGTCTGGATGTATCTTTAGGTTCCAAAGGGATCTCTTGTAGACAGCATATGGATGGGTCCTGTCATTTTATCCAATCTGCAACCCTGTATTGTTTTATGGGAGCATTTTGGCCATTCACATAGAAAGTGATTATTGAAAGATATGTTTTTATTGACATCATGTTGCCTGTGAAGTCCTTGTTTCTATAGATTGTCTCTGTAAATTTCTGTTCTATGCCACTCTTGGGTTCTTTCTTCTTTACAGAACCCCCCTTAATGTTTCTTGTACTGCCAGGTTGGTGGTCACATATTCTTAAACCTTGCTAGTCTTGGAAGCTCTTTATCTCTCCATCCATTTTGAATGTCAGCCTTGCTTTATAAAGTATTCTTGGCTGCATGTTCTTCTCATTTAGTGCCCTGAATATGTCTTGCCATCCCTTTCTGGCTTTCCAGGTTTCTGTGGATAGGTTGACATTATTCTGATGGTCCTTCCTCTGTACTTAAGGAATCTCTTCCCCTTAGCTGCGCTTAAGACCTCCTGTCTGAAATTATCATTCATGAATTTCACAATTAAGTGTCTGGATGTGCAAAAAACAGATCTAGGGTCCAGATCTCAGGGTTTTGCAGGTTGCTGCCAGCCCCAGAGATCCCAACCAGAGATAGTGCACTGAGTTTTCAAGCCTGGGCTGGGAGTGTTCAGACTCTCACCAGGTTCTAGAGACCAATGGCTAGTGGCCACACGGAGTTCTGTCAGGCGTAGGTGGGGAGCATAGTTCAGACCCCAGTCTAGCAGTGTACATTCAGAATGCAAAAGGCTGTGGTTTTAGAGAGCGCTGGCTGGTGTCCACACCAGACTCCATAGTGCGCGCTGGCAGGAGTATGCCTACCCAACTGGTGGTGCAAGAAGCGGAAAGCTGGGGGCTCAGGGACCACTGCCTGTAGGCTTCACTGTACTCTCTGGCACGGGTGGTTGCCAGTGGTGGCCATCCTAGGTCCATGGGCTTAGGCCCATGCCTATGACCGCCCAATTCTACCAGTTTCCCCTTAAGATCTTTTGCTCTTTTTGAGTGCTTTTAATAAGACTCCAAGTTAATCGTGGTCCCCAATCACAGGGCACTGTTGTATTGGGGTATTACTTTCCAGTGGGTTACTTCTGGTGGCTCCCTCCCCCTTCTCTTTATTGTCTGATACCAGTCTGATCATTCCCACTCTGCTTTACCTCTCCACTGATGTCTTCTGCTCCCTTAGAGATCCAGAAGTGTATAATCATACATCTCAGGCTGATTTCATGGGTCTTCAGAGTGTTCTGGTAGATAATTAGCTCACTTTAGGGGACCAGTTGAAAGAGGATCTCCTACTTCTCTGCCATCTTGCCCCTCCTCCTCCAAAATTTAAAATATAAATATCCAGAAAGTTTTAACTTTCATCTCTGTCCCTTCTCCCCCATTCTTCCTTTCTCTCCTTAGGTATCTATATTAGTTGTTACATGAATATTTTGGGAGGCACTTTAGAGATTTGGTAGTGAATTAGGAGTTAAATTTGTGACCAATACATAGACAACTAGACAAATGGGAGAACAAGACAGTTATTAATTATGAGAAAAATTACATTTGTTTCATAAAAGGAAATTAATCACATTGTAAGATTTGTTATTTGTGAGTGGCTTGTATGTTGTCACATCACTGTAAACAGTATCCACTGATCAAACTAAAATTATAATGCAACTATATTTGAGGTATGGGGGATAGAAAGTTCTTTGAATGTGGGGGGTTAAGTAAAAGCCAAATTATTATCTTTGTGTTGGTAAATAAAAAAATAACCTATATAAATGAAAAAAAAATCAAGAAGTAGCAGTTTGGACATGCTATTCAGAGATACAAATAGTTAATACAAAAAGAATGAACTAAGAACTAAAAGTCATCATCTTTGCAGAAGGGAGGTAAGATTTGTTGGTTTTTCATAAGGATCCTTGGGATTATCTTGAGTATCTCTTTGAATACTTACTAGTTGTATGAGGTAGGCTCTTTTTTATACTTATAGCCCCATGATAAAATTAATTATTTGAGATTTTACTAACTATGTATTGCTACATAATGACTTATAACAAAACTTGACATCTGAAAACAACATATTATTACCTCATATTTTCCCTGGGTCCTTGAAACTTAGCTGGGTGTTTCTGGCTCAATCTCTCATGGAGTTGCAATTAAGATGTTAGCTAACACTGCAGTCATGTTGGTGTTTGACTGTGGCAGTCTGCTTCAGAGCTCACTCACATGGCATACCCAGAAGGCTCCAAGCTCATTCATGTGGACCTCATCCTACAGCAGCCTCAGACCAGAGCAGTTGGCTTCTCTGACAGCAAGTGATCTAGCAGCACCCAAGATGGAGGCCATGGCCTTTTTAAAATCTAGTCTTGGAAGTGACATCTATTACCTCTGTCATAATCTGTTAGAGGCACATCCATAAGTCTAGCCTACACTCAAGTTGAGGAACTTCAGGAACAAAATATGAATTCAAGATGAGTTATCTTAGAGGTTGTGTACCACAGGAGAAGTGGCTTCTCCCAGTTACCATAAGTGAGTGTAAGTGGTAGCCTGATTTCAGGGCTCATAGTTCTTAACCACTATGTAACCCCTACATTGTTGCCTGTGTGGTATTTACTCTGCATGTGAAAGCAGCACCTCCTTTCACACCGTCACCATCTTGGAAATGAAGGGGTGGTGAGAGGGATAATGCACATAAGAGCTGACTCTCTTATGTATGGCACACACCCAGGGGTGTCAGGTCTGAGCAAACAGAAATGAGCTATATGTTATGCTCTGTATATGTGATGCAAACTATAGCCTCTGGTTCCGAAAGTGTGCGTGACTGCAAGAGAGAATTACAGGAGTATACAGATAACCTTGAATTCACCCTAATTTATAAAAAAGTCAAACCCTCTCAAGCTTTAGAACTTTATTGGTAATGAATTATCTGAGGCACCCCTTACACTTGATCATGACAAAGTGAGGCTTCATATTTTTAGGATGGGGCATTAGTCACAGGGGCATGTTGGCTAAGGTGAGGAGTTGGTGCTATATCTTTAAAGCTGTTGGGAGCCACTGAAGTGTTTTAAGTATGGGGGAATGACATAATTGGATATGTACTTGCTGCTCTGAGCTATACCATTTTGTCTAAAACATCAGATGACATTCTACATTCTCATGCATGAGACAGCAGATGCCTCCTTTACACGTCACCAAATTCATTCATGTTACTGTAATGAGATTTATAAATTTCTCATATCTGCATATCGGTCAAAGTACCCTATCTCAAGGGACCCGTGTCTGTCTCTTTCTGTGCACATAACCACCTGTGTGGCTACAGCCAGGCCGTGAGCTTTTTATGGCACAGAGTGATTGCCTCACTCATGCATGGTCTGTTGTCAGGTAGCAACCACACTATTGACACATATTAGGAACACAATGAATGTTGTTAAGTCAAAATAGACTCAACTTGGTTGGACACCTGCTCTGTTTTAGGTACTGTACTGAGCTCTAGATATAGAGAAGAGATATAAGAGAAGTAAGATAATGTCATTTTATTTTATTAATAAAAAAGTCATGACCATATATATTCATTCAGTCTTTCATCCATTCATCAAACATTTTTGAACTTCTGTGAATGTGGCATTGTGCCAGGTGTTGGAACACAGCATCACACAGCACAGGGCCACTGCTCTTACAGTTTCTGTGACCACCGTTGGGGACAGAACAGCGTATGATGATCCTAGCTCAGTACACTCTGTGGGCACAGAGTAGGGGCTCATACATCAGCACAGAAAAGGGCCATAATTGACGGAAGGGGAGACTTTTTGGAGGAACTAACCTCTGAGTGGTTCAGAAGAATGGATGGTAGGAGGAATGGATGTGTGACTCCATCAAGTATTGGGAGACTGGATTGCTAAGATCTGGGTAGGGGGAGTGGGAAATGAAGGCTATAGAAGGGGATGGAATCAATAGTGAAAGTAAGCGATTAGTAGGAGTTACTGATCCCTCCAGAGTGATATCCAGAGCCAAGCAAAGCTTCATCTCTGCTGTCTTTGTATCTTTTCAGCCCTCTACGAGCAATCCTGTGAGGTGTACAGGCACCAAGGGAACACAGCTGGTTTCTTCTACATCGACTCTGATGGTAGCGGGCCACTGGGACCCCTCCAAGTGTATTGCAACATCACAGGTAAGGATCAGAAATCCCACTCATACTTAACCTAGCTATGGGATGGTACACAGCAAAGGGAAGACAACAGGAAGGGGACATGCATAAATAAAAATTTAGAGAACCAATTTCTGTGGTGGGGGGTGGTATTTAAGTAAGTAATAGACATTTACGGCTGGGTTATCTTCATGAGAGAGGAAGACTTAATGGTCTTGATCACACTCCGTCAAATCAAGAATTAACTCTGAGGTATTTTCTTTAGAACTTGCCAAGGATGTTTTCTCTCTTAAAACTCATAAGCAGAAAGAAAAGAAAAACAACTAAACAAACAAAAAAACAAAACTCAAAATCAATAGACAACCCTGACTCAGGGAGTGGAAAAGTATGATTCGTGTCTGGCCCTGAGGATGGTGTGAATCCCATATGCTCTCTGAGCTTCAGCTGTTCATCAGTGAAATGGGAAAAGTATTTCCTTCCTCCCAGAGTTGAAGATGAGACACAATCATTAGTATCAGAGGAATTGGCCAGGCTACTTATCCAATAGATGCTTAGTAAGAAAAGTGAGCTATTTGCATTTTCCTGGCCACTCCTTTCTAAAGTGCACAAAGACATAGTAAGAATTAATTATTGCATGGATTTAGAAACAATATATGATCACTAAATTATTCTGAAAAATAATTCCTCAAAGCCAAAACCTGATGTAATAGTTCCTTAAAAATACAGCAGTGCAAGTACCCTCTCCATTGTGAGTGTCATAAATTAGCACATACACGTTTTTGTGTGTTTGTTTCAAGCACTGGCCTTTAGAAATGACAACAGAATCATGTAATAAAGCAGAAAAGTAGGGAGGGTATTAAGACTCATTGAGTCCTCAGGCTTCCTTGCAACAAGGCAAGCACATTCACCAAGCTCTTTCTGTAGCCACAGGGTGCCCTGGGCACTGAGGACATGCAGAGAATTAAGACACAGCCACTCTCATTTGTGAGGCCATAGTATCAGGGAAAATGTCATGCAATATTGTAGGTAGAAATGCAAGCAAAGCATTGCAAAACTGGTGATTGCGGGCACTTACCGATTTGTTGTTCTGGATACAAACAACCACACTTCTTCTGTAGAATATGTTAGTTACACAGAATTAGATGCATTTCATTGCATTTCCTTAATAATTCATCTCTCCAAATTGCATATGTGCTGGCTGCTTCTCAACTTCCCTATATCATAATTAGAAATTATGTTATGGTAAACTGTAGTGTTAACCTATGGGTGAAGAACTAATTTTCTCTGTGTATCTTGAGTATTTTCAAGATGGAATTAACACACAGAACTCCAGTGATTCTTGTTAACAATTTAGACTTTCTAATTTAAGAAATTCAAATTTAGTAAATGCCCTGTTACCCACTTTGGGAGCTGAACTGAGATTTACAAATACCATCTCTTGCGCTCCTCACAATAAAAACCTGAGGTAGATATTTTTATCTCTATCTTACATAGAAAGAAAGAGAATATGAGATTTTCATGACTTGCTCAAAGTAATAAATCCTGGGACTAATAGTCGAGACCCAGGAAGCAAACAAAACCTTCTGGTGCAGTAATAATTTATATCACTCAAAGATTAATTGGGTACTTTGTATTGCTTATGTTTTGCTTTTGTTATAAAATAAGTCAATATTAATTATAGAAAATTTAACAAAAAAAGCAAGATCTGAAGAGATTGTTAAAGTCACCTTTAAACCACAATCCACAGATTACTATTGTTATTTTATTGTATGGATTTCCTTGGGATTTTTTTTTTCTGTGAATGTGTATGTGTGTTTCTCCTATGAGTGCATATATTTTTAATTTTTATGTATTTTTTAAGGTTTTATTTATTTATTGGAGAGAGAGTGATCACAAGTAGGCAGAGCAGCAGGCAGAGAGAGAGGAGGAAGCAGGCTCCCCGCTAAGCAGAGAGCCTGATGTGGGGCTCGATCCTTGGACCCTGAGATCATGACCTGAACCAAAGGCAGAGGCTCAACCCACTGAGCCACTCAGGTGCCCCTATTTTTAAATATATATTTTCAAATCATGAATTTAATAGATAAGCATAGACTTGCCCTTATGTCATTAAAATATATTTTGAGATTAAAATATATACTTTAAATAGGCCTTAAATTATTAAACTCTTCAAAATAACATAAGCACAGTGACAAGGAGGGTATAATTGATTCATAGGTCTCATTTACATGGCACTCCCTGCCTCTTTAAAAAGACTACCCTTCAGGCTTATGTATGATATTTTGTCCAGGAATGGCTAAAGAGGAATGCTTACTTCTATTTAAAGGTTGCTATTTCACTGATGTGATACTCAAGGAATGGGGACCTTGGAATTGTGTCCTGGAGTTCATAGGCTTGATAATGCATGACTGGGGATTTCTTTTACATATGCTGTTTTGGTTACATGTAGTTGTGGAACATCAGTTTTGCTTTTGATTTGTTTTTGTTTTTCTAGAAGAACTATAAAAATAAAAACAAACCTTCCGTATAGGCTAAATTCCATAATTCTCATATTTAACTGACACCCATTTTAATTCATAAACATCATGATGATCAAACACATATTTTTGTATTTATAATTGTTACTTGTTCTTAAATAGGAGTGACTTGTGACACCAGTGTAGGTATAACAAAGTGACCTAGGGAAGAGAGAGAAGGAGGAAGAGAGGGAATGGATAATTGGAACTGAGGGAACAGAACAGTGTGCAGTGGGGTGGGAGGGTGACTTGTTCTGTGTTTAACTCCAGTTTCTGAAAACACAAAGTTGCTGTTCTCTGCACTTTTGAGCAACATCACTGGGGTAATCACACAGAGAGTGTAAATGGCACCGGACGGCAGGGGACCTGGATTCTCTCTCTGCACCTTGTGCCAGTCAGCTGAGTGCCCCTGGCCTAGTTGCACATAAATAAGACCTGGGATCCTAAAATAAGGACCTGGGGCCAGGTGGTCTCACAGGCTTTCCTCATTTAGAATTCCCTTAGAGATCATTTGAGATTTGACAGAAAAGGGGATGTTTCTCCTAATAAATCTACACACACCTGCAAATAGGTATCATGAGGGTAAAGGACAGTTTTTAGATTGGAAAACAGTAAATTTGAATCACAACTGCATCTGTCTTCACAATGTGCCCTGGGAGGACACATTCCTTTACTCTAGGTGGCACCTTATCCCTCTCTGGGGATTTATGTCTGTGCATCTTACTTAGCACCGGGTGATCTTGGGAAGATGAGCTCCCCACATATTCACAAAGCAATGGCCCCGTTCACTGGAAAGCAGTGTGATCTCTGCATGGGTACAGTATGCCAATTCATGGAAGTAACCTAAGGGGGGTGATTAGGCTTATTTATAAAGTGGACTGAATCTGAACCTCTACACATTTTGACTGTGTACCTGTTGTTCTGAGTTGGTTCACCACAGCACTAGCGGGTAGGAGACAGGGAAAACCCACTGTGGAGTGCTGAATGAAATTATGGATGAGGAAGATAAAAAGTTTCTGCAGGAATGCAGAGCTGGCCTACTTCTAATCTCTATATATGATTTACTATTCCATTCAGCCCAATATAAGTTTACACATTTCAGGCACTGTGCAGACTGCGAAGGATACAAAATAGAGTCTGCATTAGTTTCTCCAGGCTGCTATAACAAATTGAGTGACATAAAAGTACCCAGAAGTATATGTGTCACCGTTCTGGAGGCTGAAAGTCCAACATCAAGGTGCCACAGGGACACACACTACCTCTGCACCCTGTAGGGGGGAATTCTCCCTTGCCTCTTCTGGCTTCTGCTGGCTTGCCTAACCTTGGTCATTAGCAGCAGCACTTCAGTGACTGCCTCCCCAGATTGTCACCCTGCTTCCATATGAAAGAGTCACACTTAGCCTTCTCCTTTCATGTATCTGTTTCTTCTCTTCTTGTAAGGATATCAGTCATATTGGATTAGGATCCACCCTAATGGAATATGATTTCATCTTAAGTTGATTAGATTTACAAGGAACCTATTGCCAACTAAAGTCATGTTCACAGGTGTCAAGGGTTAGTACTTCCACACATCTTTTTGGACAGAATTCAACCCATAAGGGTATCATTTCAGTCTCCTTCAGAAGTTAATCATGGAGAAGCCACAACAGCAATTATAAGGATCACGACAGGGTGTGTACAGTGTTCTGGGAGTCCACTGGAGGGACAACTAATCCAGCCTCCTGCACAGTGGAAGGGCTTTTGATCTAAGATCTAGGTGGGGAGTAAGAGCTTCCCAGAAAAAAGGGCAAAGGAGAGCACTTTCAGGAAGAGCAAATGAATGTCAGGAACAAATTCCAAAGGTCCTCTAAGCCTGCATATTTATGGGGACCAACAAACTCACCAAGATGAGTTGCAAGTTTAGAACACTGAGAAACTCATCAAACTGAATGAGTAGAAAAGGATCACATTTTCTTGAGTAGAGGCAAGCAAAAGCTGTTGAACGTCCATAATCCGAATTATAGTTTCAAAGCAAGGAAATCTACTAAGTCAATTCCGGGGAAAAGAAGGAATGTTTTATCATAGACACTTGTTGAGCATGCAGACTAGTTAACTGTCTCTGAATGAAAGATGAACCACTTTCTGAGCACCAGTCAGAAGATGCCATCCTCATATCATGCATAGGCTCTAACACTGTTCTCTTATCTTGAGGACAGCAGACCACTCATAGGCCTTGCTCAAATTAGAGACTGTTTACAAAAGTGTGTGCCTACAAAAGGAAATTATGGGAAGGGGACTACAGAGAAGAGCTAGTAACAGAGGGGTTGTTCCCACCATCATGCGCATAAAGGTGAAGGGAGGGAGTGTTACCAGAGTGAGAAGGAGGGCAGCATGTGGAGAAGCCATGCCTTGTGAGAACTATGACCTCCTGTGTGGGAATAGCCAACTAGGCACTTGGGGAATGCTCCATCTCTCCTTGTTTCTTCCAGTCTCTTCCCTATTTCTTCACTGAGCAAACCCAGCTAGAATTCA